GTTTTGCTAATACTGGGACTTTGGGGGGGCGTTTAGCAAATACCTATGATTTAAGTTGTATATATGTAAATAACCCTTTTTCTTTTTGTCCACACAGTATGTTACAGCATTTTCGCTCCATTAAGATTCGAGAGTTACCCTGTTGACTCTGTTTCTTGTTATCGTTCACAAACATTTCTAGGATTCCAGCAAGAAATTATCTTAATCTTTCGCGCTCAAATTTACTTGTGTTGTCTGAAAGAATGTCGATTATGGGAGTACAAAGAGAGGCTAAAAACATTAGATTTTCATTCCTCCAACTATACGATGTCCTGATTACCTGGAGGAGATATGAAACTGGGCTGTATAGTTGTTTTATGGTGCCAATGGTTCGACATTTCGATAATTTTCATGATAATTTCTTTTTTGCAGGTCGTATCGTGACTAGGGACGCAATGAGCATGATTTCTTCCTCCAGACTTTATAAGAGCAGCAACGCAAGTATCTCAAGACACAGCAGAAGGGTAGTGTTACTTTGGCTGGGATTTGGAACTTGATTTCAGCTGCTCTGTCGTAATGTTAATATTGTCTTGACCCTCTGTTATATTTTTCAAATAACTGGAAAGGTTTGGTTTTTGCAATTTAGGATCTTGTGTTCATTTGGAGACTAAATTATCGAGAGGAGCTACTACAACAATAGATATAAAGTTGTAAATCCTCGATCCTAATTAACTTTCGGGTTTTGTCATACCGGAGAGAATTTAAGATGTTATCAAAGTAAGCACCTATTTACATGAACTTGAAATTGATACTCTACCCTCTAACCCTCATCTGATCATATGATAAAAAGAATTGGTCTAGTAATATAGTATTAGGTAATCTACTCTCATCTCATTGTGTTGTACTAGATATATTACTAGATAAATATACTATATATTGTAATAGAAAATTTATGTCATTAGTTGTAGTTTGCTTTAATATATTTACTATATTCTATCTTACAATTATTTTCACATATTATCAAAATCATTGAGTTGAAGGATAATTGTTAGATATTTTGTTAAGAAAAGACAATTTTGCCTTCATGAATAGTAATAAAGTTTTATAATTAAAACATGTTTTAATTAGCAATTAAAAATATGTGTAACGACCATATAATTATGGGGAACGTTACAAAATTTATGACGAACGTTACAGAATTAATTACGGGTTTTGTAACGTCTTTTCCAACCCTATATATATATCCATATGTTAAGCTCAAAATGATAAGGAAAATATACAAGTTTCTCTTGTTTTTCTTCTCTCCCCTACATATTATTTTTATCTACATTTTAGTTTTATTTTATGGGCAACTTCCTTCATCTGAGCTGAAGCTCTGCACTCTCGTCCGAGTGTAGAGGCCGGCCGTTTCCGGGGGTTTTTACCGCTAGGGGGAGGGAACCATCTGCGCCAGGGCGATAGGCGGGTTCTCAATCTTCTAGGGCAGTGAATACACGACTGCTCCCGTTCAGACCAGTTTTAATTATTTAATTTTTTGGATTTATCTACATGCTATAATCTTAATTATTTGATAAATTTCCAACAATCTAGAAGATTGAGATGTTTATAGCTTTGATTTAAATCTGAAATTATCTTAAAGTTACTGTTCATTCGAGATGGTTACTGTTCATCCGAATTTAAAAAAAACAAAAAGAAAATTGCTACTAAATTGCTTATCTATTAATTAATATTAAAAAAAA